CGCAGATAACCGCTGCGGCCCTGAAGTGAAGGGGGCCGGGGGATGGGTTGCTCCCGGACCTCGGCGTTTCGCGGGGAGCCGCGGAAACTGGCCTTAATATTTAAACGGCGTGGATGATTTAACCTGCAAACGGCAATCTTCCTCCACCCCCTTCTTTCATAGCTGCTTTTCTTCTGAAATATTGACCCTTTCCATTCCATTGGCACGGGTTTTTGGAGAGAAGAATTATTGAAGTGGGTATTTAAAAATAATGGATGTTTTCAGATCTTCTTGACTACAGGGAAACAGCCGAACGTCCCAAGTATTCTTGGGAAAATGGGCAGAAGCGGAGGAAATCTGACAGCTGGACAGACAGCTCGAGTACCTTCTCTGACTTGAATGCATGAGGCAGAGGAAGTTTCTGTTTTCGAAAGCATCCATTTTTGGTCAAAACCAAAATGCTCACACATCTCAGACACTTCCAGGCCGGGTAACATTTCCTGCTTGGCTTCTGGATGGTAAACAACATGCAAGGCCCTGGTAGCTGCTTTCTAGTCCATGAGAGTTCAGAAGTAAAAGATTAAGTCTCTTCGTAAAGACTTAAATATTATTTCTCCTTGGCTGTAGTTGTCCTAGATGATTGACAAAAGCAGGGAGAAGGCTTCCAAGCATGTATAGGAAGAATGGAACAGGATCATCGTCTCCAAACTGATGCTTGTAAAAGATAAAGGTGTGTGTGGGCAGCAGTAACGTTTGAAGTAGGAAAACTAATGGAGAGAAATATAACAATCTTAGATTTTCTGCGCAGCACCAAGCAGCAGACCTTTACAGATGCATCAGAGTTCATAGCCAGGTTGCATTTTTCATTGATAAAAACTAAAGATTATAGCTTTGTTCTCCTGGTTATTCTACCCAGGATTTGTTCACCTGTTACTCAGGAGATCAGAGCCTGCATGTACAGTTAATAGACAGGTAAAGTTAATATTCAGGTAAAATGTTTTCAGTAATGAACTGTGAACAGAACAGTTAGGTTCCAAGGCAGAGAAGCTGAAGTGGTTGAATTTACCTTCTTTTTATTTTTGTTAAACCATAGAAAGAATTACTTATAAAAATGCAGAAACACTCAAATAAAATGAAAAATGCTTATGCTTTTGGCATAATTTAATTGAAGCTGCTGTTCACAGTAGCTCGTATATTGCATGGAGATCATAAGTTAGAAAAAATAAGAGAAAGAGGAGAGACTGTTCAAACAGAAAACGCTTGAGGCTATGCAAGCATCAGCAACTCCCCAGTTCTGAATTTGTCTCCCACACATTAGGAGGAACAACTGAGTTATGTTTTGCTGATACAGATTTGTATAACTTTTTGCAGTATGCCAGGTATCCTTTCTCTTGGGTTTTTCTTTTTCTGTTAAAAAACTTTTAAAAGTAGCTTTAAGCTATTTGATTAAAAGTATGTTTCCTTAGTAGTTATGTTTTCTGTCTTTTGCTGTTTATGATGTCTGCTCTGGAAGACAAGCTTGTGGCTTGATGGGATTATGGAGTTTTATAACCTGAAAGAAATTCATTGTACTGAAAGTCTAGTAAAGGTCATAGCCAACTTTTCTTCTGTTTGTGGGTTCATATATAAGCTTATACTTACGTGAGAGGGAAACTATGAAAACCACTCAATACCAGACTTAAGGTCATTCCCACCTTTCTTCATTCCGTACACTAACACACAAAGAGAGTAGGGGTTGAACATGATCTATAGAAATATCAATTTTATTTTGCAGCCTGAGGCTTAATGGATTTGCTTTTCTACTGTTATGTCCAAGGGCACACTGTCAGCATAAAATTCACATTTCTTTCTGATTTTTTCCTTAACTGTTCTTTGCTGCATTTAATTTTTAAGATTAGACTAATTGAAAAAAAAAACGAACATGCCAACACCATTACTAGAGGGAAGACAAATTTCTCTATTGTACTGCTGTATACTTTGTGTAATGTGTTTCTTTGTTTTCTCTCTGGAAGTAGAGGTGGTTCTGTGTTGTGTGAACAACTCAGGCAAACTATGGAACTGGGAAAATGTGGCTGGGAACCTTGCAGCTCTACCCAGGGTGGACAATACTGGATATTACTACAATCGGTCTTGAAAAGAATTCTAGGTTTTGAGCTGATAATACTTTCCAGAAAGTGTCTTAATTGAGGGAGGTTTGATGCATCTGTTCTTTAATATGAAGGTGACCCTTAAAGCCTGCTAAAATTAAAAAATGTAGGGGTTTTTTTGATGTTTCTGGATTTGCATCAAGCTCTAAAACAAGTTTCACAACTGTTGTGAAAACTCTTAAGCATTTGCTAGTTATCAGCTGCTGTGTATTGTAGAGGTAAGAACCTCTGTTAAATCTCACTTCTTTTTTGTTTGATGCTAAAAGTAGCAACACTAATAACCCTTGGTTTTAGTTTGGCTTTGCTGTTTTAAGTTCACATTCAAAAGAAATATGAGTACATCTAAGAACAGCAGACTTAATGAAAATGAGTAAATGTGTTTTCCTTGACACCTGCTTTTCCATTCTCAAAATGAAACTTGAAGTTGCTGGTCATGTGCTTATCAGATGACAGGCTTATCAGAAAGTACACAAAAATGTTCAAAACAAGCAATTTAGCTTTTCAGAGGTGACCAGGTGCTTTTGTTAGCTACAGTTATGTACAGTTTTGCAATTTATAATTCTGTGTACTGTGATTGTTTTTAATTTAATGGCACACCCAAGTGGCCAAACAAAGGCATATCACTCCAGATTGGCAACAAAGTTACTTGCAGCAAAACTGCAGAGACCCAGAGTTTTTCTGCTTTGCATATAGTTGCCAACGAACAAAAACTTACTGGTTAAGTAAGCACTTCTCTGTCAAGTTCCAAAGCACAATCTTTTAAAGAAATATGGTTTCATGTTTGGAACAGAAAATTGCAAGTTGGACAGTCTGGATTCTGTTTCTGCTTCTGCCACAGCCTTGCTCCATGTCTTTACCCAAGTATCTTGAGATCTGAATTTGTGAGGTGCACTGAGAATTCATACAGCATAACCTCTCTCTTGGGGTTTGTCTTATTTTAAAATAAGCTTAAAAGCTGCTTATTTTTGCAAAGTCAGAGTTTTGAACTATAACTTATTGCTACTATTTTAGGAGTTCAGTGCTAAGCAATAGCACACGCAATTTGCATAGAGCTATAAATATTAAATGTATTTTTTCATCCTTTTATAGGAAGCGTGACTATGAAGGGTTTCTGTGTTCTCTGCTCTTGCCTGCAGAATCTCGAACCTCTGCTTTTGCCTTGAGAGCCTTCAACGTGGAACTGGCTCAGGCAGGTATTAAAATACATTTGTGAACTCTGTAAATGTAAAATAACAATTTCAGTATTCTAAATTATGCTTGTAGGTGGTGTTTTGCCAGGATTAAATTTTTGTACTATAAGGGGCAATAAATAAATAGTGCAATACAAACCTCTGCTTTTGAATGGCTCATGGAAAGTATCCAGTCTCTCCCAGTTTGTTTATGTACAGAGTTTTTCTGACCTTCCTTTTTAGTTGTGCAGTTTAAAGTTAAATGATAACAAACAGGCTGTGGTCCTTGATACGGTTATGTGATTGCATATATGTCCTGGCTTGAAATGCAGCGACTGAACTGGTAAAGTGCAGCTAAATCCTGTCTGTAGGTCCATCAAAAACTTGGATGATACAATCAGCCTCAGGTCTTTGTTGGCAGAAGCTAGGTGATTGAAAGGCTGCTGGGAGGGAAGTTTGTAATTAAAGTTGTGCGAGGGGAGTGGCTGCAGTCTCTCTCCCCTTTGCTAGGCGGCCGAAAACTGCAGTGCAACCAGGAGAGTTGGTAACACTTGCCGCAAAGGAGCGATCCAGGAAATGCGCCGACCAAGCACAATCCTTGGATCAGCTTCTGTGGGCCGTGCTTCTGGCAGCCCGTGGTGCTGCCCTCCCTAGCTGCTGTTACCACTGCTTTTACTTCTGGGAAGAAAGTCAAGGTGTGAGGGTCGCCCATGGCTTCATCTCCATGGGTTTGAAAGTCAGGTTGTGGTGAAGATTTTTTTTTTTTTTTAACTCTCTGTAGTGTTTGTCCGCTTTATGAGGAACAAACAAATTCAAAACCAAGCGCTTTGCCTACTGAGTTTGGCTATGACCTGTGTCTGTCTTTTCAGTGTAGATAGACCAAGTGCCTTAAAGACACTGAATTTCACTCCAGATGTATCCTTTCCAGATTAAAGACTCCATAACTCAGAAGACTATTGGTTTGATGCGAATGCAGTTCTGGAGGGAGGCTGTGGAAGATATATACTGCGATAACCCACCACATCAACCAGTTGCTACGGAACTGTGGAGGGTAAAATATAACTCTGTTGTCCTAAAATTCACTTAACTAAAATACTACTGTGGAAATAATGACAGTGTTTTGTGTGTGCTGTGTTGTGTAGGTAACAACATTGTTTTATGTAAAACAGATAACTTAAATTGTCTGTGTGTGATACTGTAAAATACCAAAGAGCAGAGCTGGAGCAGGAGGATATTTAGGTAGGACTTACTTGGAGGGTCTGTTTTCTGTGAACAATCTGCCTTTTTCTCTTCTGTTTTGATGAAAGACAGAGTAAATTGTGGTAAGCTGTAAATTTATAGCAAGTGAAGTGCATAAATATTCTCTCCTGAGCCAGTGCTAGTCCTGCCTGAAGACATTAAGCTGTACAAAGAGACAGGAGGCTAAGCACAGAGGTTGAACTAACAAGTAGGGTATGAGGAAAAGCCCAGGACCTTCACAGACACAGTTACTGGGTAAAAGGGAGAATCTTAATACAGTTTTCTTCTCACATCAAGAGTTGCTTAATTATTTCTATTTGTGTATTATGTTTTGCACAGATCCTTTTGTATGCATTGAGTAACAGGGAACGTACTTGTGAACTTAACAGTTTATTTTTACCGAGATGCATGAGTTCTGCAGGCACTAGAACATCACACATGAAGTACACCTACAGATCTGTTCCTCTGTTGGACATGGCCAGAGAAACAGAGGCTTTCTTCCAAAGTTTTTTGTTCTACTTAGATCTGTCAGTGATAAGTTTGATACATCATTGAAGGTCTGAAGGCAGTGTAAATGGATTTCCTCTTGATGCTGATACAGAACCATAAAATAATTTAATTGGTAGGGATCTCTGGTTGTCATCTAGTCCAGCTTGCCTCTTGGAGAAAGTCTTAACATCAAAGTTAGATGAAGTTTTCAGGGTCACATGAAGTTCAATTTTTAATTTCTTCAGGGATAGAAATTCCAAACATTGCTATCTTGTCATCTTAGAGCCATGAGCCACAGTAAGTCTTAGAACCTTCAGAAAGATCAGCTACCATAAGGCCTCTACTCTGTAAGATCAGAACTTGCATTTAAACTAAAGATCTCCAAGATCCTGAACAGGAAAAGCTGCAGTTTGTCTAAATCTCAATAGCTGAATACATTTAGCATAGATCCCATAGTTTGTTAGGTTTATGGACCTGCTGGAAAACAGGTAGTGAAATGAGTTTTCATCCAAATATTCACCTGCATTATTCCTGTTAAAATCCTGGGAAAAGCAGGATACTCACTGTAATGGTGGGTTAGGACAATGCAGTTCCTGCAGTATTAGAGCCTTTCACTTGTTGCATTTTGTCTTCACATCCACACTGCTGCACCTCTGAGACCACAAAAATGAGTCTTTTTAAAGTCCTCTTTCAGTGATTTTTTGGCAGTGCTGAAACTGTGACCTCTCCCTGACTCTTCCTCCTTCAAATGTGAAATAAAGCATAAGTGAGCATTTGTTCTGACTATCAACACTCATGTTTAGATTAAAATTGGAATTTAAACAAGATATACTTTGTTCAACTAAGAAAAAACATAGGTAAAGCCAAGAATTAAAATAAAACACCTGTTACAGTCACTTTTAGGAGGACAAGAGTTATTCATAGGTGTTTCCAGCTCAGATAAAATGTGTACCTTAGCCACCACAAAGCATTCATACCGTTAGAATGTAGACTGGCAAATTTTGTGAGCCTTTTAATGGGATTATAGGTGCTGAAGATGCACCTAGGGTGATACTTTAATGCAGTCATTAAAATGCAGAATTGGTCATTGTGCATGTCAATCTGTTTGTGCCTTTGCTTTTTATTTCCTTCTTTCTGTCTCTCTTCCAGCATATGGCAAACTTCCCAGGAGCAAGACTGTTTTCTCCTGCTTTCCAAGGAGGAACTTGCTTTTTTGTTTCTGGAGATAGCCTTGCATTTAGTTGTCTGATTGAGTGGGTTAGGTACAAGTTAGTTTTAGGTATGACTATATATATACTTTTGACCACTTCTAATTTCAGGCTGCTTGTTTGTGTATCAGTGTGGTGGTGGGGTGTGTATCAATGTCCAACCAGTCTCTGAGGAGATGATCCCCCCTGCTGCCAACATCCCCCCTAGTATTATTGCTGAGCATGACATCATATGGTAGGGAATATATCCCTTTGGTCAGTTGGGGTCAGCTGTACCAACTGTGTCCTCTCCCAACCTTTTTTGCACCTCCAGCCTACTTGCTGTCAAGGTGGTGTGTTGTGGAGGCTCTCAAATAAACAAAAAACAACAAAAAGTTAAAAATGTATTGTCAGCACAATTAACTAGCACTCTGCAAACATTCAGTGGCAGATCTGAATGTGCATGAGAACAAAACTATTGCCACTTCCTAGGCTTTAACAACAATCCAAAATGCTCTGTCACTTGCCTAACAAATAAGGGCTGTCAACCTCAAGGAACTTTGTAGGCAGCGCCCTGAGCCACAGGAACCTTTCACTGAGTGGTGTCCTGACCCAAGGGGAGAATCCTTGACCACAGCATGCTGCTCCAGCAGGAGGACTAGCTCAAAATGGCTTCTCCAAGGGCCTCCATTTATACCCAAGCCAAATCTGATCTGTGGTCAATACTGGCTCCTACTGGCCAAGGGCCTCAAGTACTGTAGAGCCATGAGAACGGCCCAGGAAAAGGAAACCAATAGCTGCTACGTTTCCATCAGCCAAGAAGCCCTGTTTTTGTTGGGTGGGTGCACCTGCCACATGGTGTGAGGAGCAGAAAAGGCCTTGACTCTGTGTAAGCACTGCACACCAGTAACTAAACCAGTGTATGAGCAATACTGTTTTCAGCACAGATCGAAAACATAGCCCCATACAAGCTACTCTGAAGAAATTTAACTTTATCCCAGCCAAAACTGCTACAACATTCAGATATAAATCATTTGGATATTGAGATACTAATCTCAATAGAGAGACTAAGACTGCCAGTCACACTCCTTTTGTGAGAATCACAAAACAGAAAACTTCCACTGAAGTGGAAGAAAGAATTCGCCTATCTTTGTGGTAAGATTTCACCCCATGTATGATTTCTCTAAAGGAAGAACAATATAAGACAATCCAGACAGAACTGGTTGTGAAATAGGATGTTGAAAAATAATTCAGAAAGTATTTCTAGGAGCTCTGATAGCTCTGAACACTGCAAAGCACTGGAGTGAACTAATAATCCAACATGACCTGGTGACCTTTGCACTCAAGATGTGTTTTTTATTTCTGAGTTTCAGCAAATACCCCATGAATAACTTATTTGAAGAGCACAGCTTCACAAATGTTCAAGAATGTCATTGCAATTCTTAGAAAGGATTTGGAAACACACCTGAACTCACAAGCATTGCAGAGCTGTTAATAGAATTAGTATGACCTTTGCACAGCATATTTTATGTATACTCCTCTCACTGTGGAGTTTGTATGAGGACAATTTTGATTTTCCAGAATAAATACTAATTTATCATGTTAAATGTATTCCTGAAGTTTTGTATATCCCAGAATACTCACATTTGGATTCCAAGCGTTTTATGCACTAGTGAAGTATATAAATAGCCTTAAGTAGTATTCCTAGAATTATTAATAGCTCAACTCTCAGCCTATAAACTTATATAACAACTATATAATACTTGTTCTTACTTATCTGTCCATTTTGAACATGCAAAAAAAGAGGCCTGATTCTCCAATCATTTCTGTGGGAGAAGACAATTTTCAAAACCTTTGAAAAATGAGAACCTGTATGGTTGAATGAAGGTAGCTCAAAATGGATGTAATGTACAAACTGGGTAATTGAGCAGGACTCAGTTTGGTGCTTTAAGTCTTGACCTGTGACTACTTCAAGGATTTCATTTACAAAATGATACTCAAGACAAAGAGTGAGAAGCGAAACTGACATTTGTAGTTGTAACTTAAAATTTGCCTTTTCACATACCAAGTACTTCCTCAAGCAGATTTTGCTGAATCAAGATGATCTAGTCTCATCAAACCATGAAAACTTACTTAGAAATACAATGGGTGTAAAGAAGTTGAAAGTGAACTATAAAGGCTAAGATTGTGAGAAATCTGCTCCCTAAGTTTTGTTTTAAAATATTTATATCTCTAATTGTAGCCTTTCTGACAAAGTGGTCTGCAAAATTCAGTGTGTGTAAGTAAAAGGATTTGAAGGTAGGTTGTTAGAATGAAGTGGTACAGAAAGGAAGTCAAATACAAGATGAGAGCCAAAAGAAGAGATGCTGCGGGGTATGTTTTTAAACAAAACAATAGTATTGCCATTATATTACTTTGTTAGGATGCTGTGTTTACAGTACGTATTGGTATGTTGTATTGATGTCATTTTGAAACTTTACAGGGGAAATTTTTTATTTCTTGACTCTGGAGGAAACTATGTTCTCTTTGGAAAGTGAACATAGCTGTCTGCAAATATTTTGTGGGAACATTTGACTCCATGAAAGAATAAATTATTTTCAAAAATATTTCTAAAGAAATGCTTTTGATTAAGTGACTTGATGTCCAAGATTTCATTTTTTATGTGCAACAACTAGAAAGAAATGCCAGTTGAAAATTTTTGTATTTGAAGATTCTCATTGTCCACTGACATACCACTTTGATTTAACCAAGTGAATACAATCCTTGTAAGAAAGGGATTATCTAAAATAATGTTTTAGCCTTCAGAATGCAGTACTACCATCACTTTGTACACATTAACATGGATGTTTTATTTAATAATTTTCAGGCTGTCAAGAGGCATAACTTGACTAAAATGTGGTTCATGAAGATCATTGATGAAAGAGTAAGTATTTACCATTCAAAGTCTGATTCTGATTTTAGTAATATTTTGGGTTTTTCCCCTTATTTTTATGTGTTTGTGTGTAAAACAAAAGCTTAAGTAATTAATCTTTTCCTGGCAGTAGTATTTCTCTTCCAGAATGCTACAGCTATATTTCCTTTTAATTCTCCATTGATGCTCTTACTCATAATTTCTGCTCTTTCTGGAAAAAACAGCTAATAGAATCCTTTGTTTATTTTTGCTTTAAGATATGTGTAGTTTGTAAGTCCACATCTTTCTTGTTTCCTGCTCTGATAACCAGTGTATCAGTGCTCATGTTTTCTGTTGCTGGTCTCTAATCTTGATTTGAAGTGGTTACCCCTAGATGTAATCCACTGGGAGTTACACTTAGATACCTTTCTGTATGTAAGTGAGCGAAGTTCCGTCGTATGAGGTTAAGTAGTAAGGTCTCTATATACAACTGCTAAGAATTCTTAAAAACTACAGTTTAATAGAAAAGGAAATCAAAATGTGCAAGAAGAGAAAATTGTACATGTTCTCTCTTTGTGCCATTCCAATCCTGCCCCAAGAGAAAAAGAATTTTGCATATTGCAAAATGTTGCATAAATCTACATCATTGACATCATATTATTCCTCCTCACCTCTTTTCTTGCTATGTCAATTTTGTTCCTAAATAGCTGCCTTTTGAGATGAGTCATGGATATAAAATTTCAAAAATCAAATTACCTGTCTGAACCTTTTTACCACACTTTGCCGCTTCTCCTTACCATGGCTGTGCAGTTTTTTTCTAAGCAATGCTGTAAATTGAAGCATTCAAATTGCATTAATTTAAAAATATCTGCTGTTTTT